CTTGAGAAGTAAATGTAGGCCAACTCAAAACCACATCATACCTGGCTTCACAGTGAACCATCTCAACTGAAAGGCAGCATTTTCTCCTCCATATTTATAACGTAATTCCTGGAGCTCTACCTATGAAAAGTCCTAGCTTCAAAGAGCATAATAGGGCACCAGCACTTAGGGTCATTGTTGTTGTTGTTGTTAAGTGCCTTCGAGTCGGAGCCGACCCATAGCGACCCTGTACAGGGTTTCCGAGGGTGTAATAAAACCAACCCATTTCTCTACTTTAATTACCATTTCCCATGCCATGGATAAAACAGTGTGGAATTACTTGTAAACATAGTTGATGTGAATGTGCATGTTTCTTCATGAAACATTTGTTGAGTATCTTCTGGGTTGCAGACACTGTGCCAGGTCTGGCTATACAAAGAATGAAACTTCTCATAGCCTTTAAGGACATCTTAACTCTTTGAATAGTCACACAGCCAAGAAATCTCTATAGTTGTTAATACAATTACATGGTAGCCTATACTGATAGCCTTCTTTAATTAACTATTCTCTTTTATTAGGTAGATAAAACAATTATTTATTAGAGCAATTTCTGCTTCTTTATCATTAGTGATAATGATCACAGTGTCTTTTACCTTCCATGGCAATTTTACTTCAAAGAGAATTGCACATAAATATCAAAGAGAGTTCCAAAACTGATACACACCAGAAAGAATAAAAATCTACAATACCAAGTTTAAAAAAAATTATTATTGTTAGACTTTCTGGTGTCTTAAGGCAGATCTCCTAGAGAGGCTCTGGACTGACATCGCATAATCCAATGACTTTGCTGCCACCAATGTTAAGGTTCAACCTAAATAAATAAACAAAATAAAACTCAGCTGGCTTGTGTGGCTAAAAAAAAAAGTCTACCCCTTGCTCCATGTGAAAGGAACAGAAAGTAAGTGGAAATCGAGTTTTTAAAGGGCACTGTAACTACAGGTAGGAAGAAATGTCAAAAATGTTGACGTGAACACTGGATCAGCTTCTGTCTTGGTTTTGGTGTTTTTGTGTTTTTTGTTTTGTTTTGTTTTGTTTAAGATTTATTTGTTCATTTGTTTCCTTGTGGTACTTTTAAAATCCTAAATGCTGTTCTATTTCATTTATTCCCAATGAACACAAGGAAACATATATGAAACATATTAGTAACAACAAACATCTCTTAGAAAAGTGACCTTGGAACTATAAATCAGTAAACAAAGAGAAAAGAAGATAGGAAATAATTCTTTCCTTTCCTGGTAGTGGCTGTTGAAGCTTAAAGATAAATGGTTATTTGCCAGACAAATTAATGTGGAAGGGCCTTCCTTGCAGAGGGAGCAACTTGAGAAGAAGCAATGTCATCAATATCCTAGATGTCTATTGAAGTGAACATAGTTCAATATAGCTAAAGTGAGGCAAAGCTGACAGGTATGTTGAGCAATAAAACTTAAGAGATAGTCAGGGATAAGATCATAGAGCACTTGAGAAGAACTTAATAAAAAGCAGTCTATGTTTTATCCTGTAGGCAAGGGAAAGGTAGTAATATTGTTTAATCCAAAGAAAATATGCTCATAATCATGACACATTGGCTGGAGATGGGCACTCTGAACAGAAATTCAATACAGAGCACCTCCCCTAAAGGGGAACAATACATATCATTAACATACGCTACTTTTCTGAGGTCATTCAGGTGGTTTGGCATTCAGACTGATTGAGCCCAGGAGTGGCTAGGAGAACTCCTCCTTCATAAAAATGCTACCAATAATGAACAAAATGCAGGAAATTGACAGGCACACTCACTCTCACACACAAAGACATGCAGCTTTACTCTCTCAGAGGCATGCGCCAAGATTTCTTTACCATCACTCCTTTCCCCATGAGTCTAAAATAATAAACTTTAGGGTCTATGAGGTTAAATTGTTCCATAGCTTGTCATGATCCATACAATCAGAAATCTTTGCATAGAGTATGCTGATCAAGTGCTCAATATTTTGCTAGGGTGCTAAAGGTGAGAGAGTACAATAGTAGGGTCCATGAGTTCAGGTATGCACACAACCAGGCTGCTCCACTTCAGAGTTCGGGAAAGCTCCCTGAGAAGACCCTAACCTACTGTAAAAACATGATCCTTACAGCAGAGCGTTCTCTGACTCCTAATGATTTCCTGATTTCATATATCCTAGCCTGTAATGTAGAAAGACACTTGATTAATAAGGAACTGTCACAAGCTACAAACCCCAGGACTAGCACTCACTGCATTTCTTTAAATTTGATGGTTGTGTCAGAAGTTGTCCAACACTTAGTGGAGGAGGCAGCCATCCACAGTTGCATTTTCCCTACTATCTGCAGCTGTCCAAATTTTACAATAGTAAATTTCAGAATTTTGCACAGGAAGAAGAGGTTGCAGTTGTTGTTGTAATTAGGTGCTGTCAAGCCAGTATCGACTCATTGTAAGCTTATTCACTGCCCAGTCCTGTGACAACCTCACAATTGTTGCTATGCTTGAACCCATTGCTGCTGCAACTGTGCCAATCTACCTTGTTGGGTCTTGCTCTTTTTCACTGACACTCCACTTTACCAAGCATGATGTCCTTGTTCAGGGACTGGTCCCTCCTAAAAATATGTCCAAACTATGCGAGACAAAGTCTCACCATCTTGGCTTCCGAGGAGCATTGTGACTGTGCTTCTTCCAACACAGATTTGTTCATTTTTTTGGTGGTTCCTGGTAATTTTAATATTCTCCTCCAATACCATAACTCAAATGCATCAATTCTTGTACAGTCTTTATTGTTCAACTTTCACATGAATATAAGGCTGTTGAAAATTCCATGGGTTTGGCCAGGCTCCTTTCAGTCCTCTAACTGATATCTTTGCTCTTGAACACTTTAAAGAGGTCTTGTGCAGCAGATTTTCCTAGTGCAATGTGTCATTTGATTTCTTCACTGCTGCTTCCATGAGTGGTAATGGTTGATCCAAGCAAAATGCAGTCTTTGACAACATCAATCTGTTGTCCATTTATCTTAATGTTATTTCTTGGTCCAGTGGTATGGATTTATATTTTCTTTACATTGAGGTACAACCGATATAGAAGGCTGTGGTCTTTGATCTTCATCAGTACATATTTTAAGTCCTCTTCACTTTCAGCAACCATCTGCATATTGTTAATGAGTCTTCCTCCAATCCTGATGCCACTTTTTTCTCCATATAATTCAGCTTCTCTAATTATTTGCTCAGAATACAGGTTGATTAAGTATGGTGAAAGAATACAACTCTGGTGTGCACCTTTCCTAATTTTAAACCATTTAGTGTTCCCTTGTTCTGTTTGAATGATTGCCTCTTGGTCTTTGCACAGATTCCTCATGAGCACAACTAAGTGTTCCGGAATATTCGTACTTTGCAATGGCCCATAGCTTGTCATGACCCACACAATAAAAAGTCTTTGCATACTCAATAAAGTACAGGTAAACATCTTTCTAGTATTCGCTGCTTCCAGCCAAGTTCCATCTGATGTTATCAGTGATAGTCCTTAACTAAATCCAGCTTGAACCTCTGGCAGTTACCTGTTAATATACAATTGCAGCTATTTTTTTTTCATTATCTTTAGCAAACTGTTACTTGCATGTGATTTTAATGATTTTGTCTGATGATTTACACATTCTGTAGGGTCACCTCTCTTTGGAATGGGCACAAATATGGATCTCTTTCCAACCAGGTGACCAGGTAGCTGTTTTCCAAATTTTTTAGCATAGATGAGTGATTGCAGCCAGTGATGCATCCGTTTGTTGAAAGATTTCAATTTCTATTCAGTTTGTATTTCATCAATTCCCAGAGCCTTGTTCTTTGCCAGTACCAGTCACTGGAAGGGGTATATCTTTCTAATTCACAAATTAGGAGTTAGAATCAGCACTATAGGAAAGGACTGCTGTGCTATTTAGATAACAAAAGCCCAGTGGGTATAGAAAAGAAAAGATGACCAATTGGGGAAGTTAAGCAAGTAGACTCTGCAGGGCTTAGTGGCTAATAGCAAATGGGTATGAGGGGGTGAAATGGGAACACTTGAGATTTCTGGCTTGAGACCCTGCATAGAAAGAAGATCCATCAAAACACATAAAAGAGAGGCTGATGTGTAGACCTTGAGGTGTCTGCTCAGCAGACAGTTGATCTAGGAGTCTAGAGCTCACTGAAGCAGTAGCTGAAAATATGAAAATAGATGTACTAGTCCAAGGTTGGAAATGGGAAAAATTGAGGCTAGGGGTGTTTAACAATAGAAGCTGAGATGTGATCAGAAATAAAAAATGAGAATTGAAACCAAGGAAATCAGTAAACAATAGTTAAGCTTTCCAATAAATTCAAGTAAAATGAGGACTATAGTGGATCTAGTGACTGCAGATCAGTAGAGGCTTTTTCCAGTGCCATTTTGTAAGTAGTAAAGGTAGATTTTTTTTTTTTTTTTTTGTAGTGGGATAAGAACACCTAGGGGAAGAGAAAGTGGGAACAATGCTGCAGATAATTCTTTTGAAGATTTTACCTGTGATGGGGGAAGGCAGGATTTGGTATTAGGAATTCAGAAATTCATTTGTTTCCAAATGGAAAGAGGAAGAGTTGATGAAAAGGAGTGGCTTTCATCAACTTTCAAATATAACTGAAAAAGAAAAGATAAAGACCCATCCAACTGCTGCCCAACAAATTACAAAGTAAATGACTCATTAGAAAGAGGGCTGGACTTGGCATTACAAACACTGGAATCCATTCTAAGTTCACTTTGCCAGGTCGTTTTACCTCATTAGTTCTTAGGGTCCATTTTTGTGAACTAAGCCTGCTAATATTTACGTTTCAGTGTGTTTTGGAGACTGAGTGAGAATATCTGTGGGAGAGTGTTTGGTGCAGCACATTGTTAGTATATGGTAATTTGAGCCATTATCCCACCATCAATGTAATCACTATTGCTTACTTTGCCATTTTTGTTCATATAATTTTTATCTCTTTAGGAATTTGGTGACAGGCTCTGTTAGTCTGTTCCTCCTTTATTTGAAGGACAGGCCAAAGATCCAGTTCGGAAATGAGAGAGGAAGACTAGCGGGCAGCATTGGCTCCATCCATTGATCTCTCCCAAAGACACAAAAACGGGATTCATGAAGATGTTGACAAGACTCCAAGTACTTACCCTAACTTTGTTTTCAAAGGGATTTTTACTCTGCTTAGGGGACCATAACTTTCTGAGGAAGGAAATTAAAATAGAAGGCGACTTGGTTTTAGGGGGCCTATTTCCTATTAATGAAAAAGGCACTGGAACTGAAGAATGTGGGCGGATCAACGAAGACAGAGGGATCCAGCGTCTGGAAGCCATGTTGTTTGCTATTGATGAAATCAACAAAGACAATTACTTGTTGCCAGGAGTGAAGTTGGGTGTGCACATTTTGGATACCTGCTCAAGGGATACCTATGCATTAGAGCAATCACTGGAATTTGTCAGGGCATCTTTGACTAAAGTGGATGAAGCTGAGTATATGTGTCCTGATGGATCCTATGCCATTCAAGAAAACATCCCGCTACTCATTGCAGGGGTCATTGGTGGCTCTTACAGCAGTGTTTCCATACAGGTAAGGTTAGCCAGTGCTATGTCTAATTACTGTCTCTTTGTTTTTATGTACTGAAGGAAATAAAGGAGAATAGTCCAATAATTTTATCAGTGGATGACATTAAGAAACATTTCTATTAATTTCTACAGATATTTTTATAACATATGTTTGCACATAAACTGATGTTGTCTAGCTGTTACAGCAGTTTTAGATTTGTGGTAGAAGAAACTGAGGCCACTCGAAGAGGTGAAGCAGAGTTTTAGATTTTATTAAGCCGCCTGACTCAGAGGAGCTAATTTCTCCAGATTCTGAGCCCCAAATGGAGGGCAACACGGGCCTATGTGGGGTCAGAGTCCGGGGAGGGGCCAGGCTGCATACCTGTTTGAAGGCAGGGGGAAATACTAGGGGGGTGGATGGTCCCATTTGGTGACCTGAGTAGCATTTTAGCTTGCCTCCTGGGCTGGAGAGTGCAGTGACATTTTCCTGTTCATAGCAATGAAAGTGGTACAGAATATTTAGATATTACAGCATAACAAACTACCCCAAAACTGAGTGACTTAAAATAACATTTTAGATCAGCTGGAGTAGCATGATCAAAACTGGGTTAGCTGGAGATGGTTCTGTTCCAGGCTGCTACTTATCCTCCTCTCGAATATTCTTCTCAGAATTCTGGCAAAGGAGCAAGAGAGTAAAAACTCAATGGCACAAGCCCTTTCCAAACTTCTCTTTGCATTACCTTTGCTAACAGCCCATTGACCAAAGTAACTAAAAAGTTTTAACCCACATTCTTGGAAGAGGGAAGTCTGTCCTTCCACAGTTTGAGTGCTGCTAAGTTACATGACAAAGGATATGGACATAAGGTAGAGGGATAATCAGAAGTCATTGATAAAATCAACCACAATCACTGAATTATATTTTGCTACCCATTTTAATTGTTGTTGTTGTTAAGTGCCATGGAGTAGGTTCTGACCCATAGTGACCCTGTACAGGGTTTCCAAGGCTGTAAATCTTTACAGGAGCAGAAAGTCTCATCTTTCTTCCGCGGAGTCTTTTTGTTCATAGATTAAATTACTACTATTTCTCATGATATAAATCTGAAAGTGTATACAAAGAAACCAAATAATTAACTACCAAAAGGGGGTGGAGGATTCATTTTGCATACAATTTAAACTAAATAAAAAACTGATAATTGATTATCATAATTTTGATAGTGAAAGGAGGAACATATTATATGCAAATTCTTACAATGCTCACATACAGGGACACAGAGTTTTAAGGATAGAAGACAGTTGATAAAACATTCAGTTCAAAACTCTGATTTTCCTGATCCCCAAAAAGATTTGTTGTTGTTGATGAGTGCCATCAAGTCGGTTCCAACCCATAGCATACCTGTATAGGGATTCCAAGGAGCAGATGGTGCGCTTGAACCACCGACCTTGCAGTTCAAACGGCTTTGCAGTCTGGCGCATTAACTACAGCCTCGGAAACCCTGTGCAGGGTCACTATGAGTCGGAACTGACTCCACGGTACACAGCAACAGCAGCATATGATTCTATAAGGATCTCTGGTAGCATAGTGGTTACGAATCAGGCTGTTAATCTCAAGGTCAGCAGTTCGAAACTACCAGCTATGGTCACTGAATTTCAAATTTTTTTTTTTTTTCTGATGAAAGCACTAATGTTACAGTAACATGTATTCTATGTTACTAAGTGCATGTTTCTAAGGTTTACATGACTCTTGCCAAGTTACTCTAATAAAGCCCCAAGCACTAGAGTAAGCCATATTATACTCATGTTGTCTTTATATCACAAACCACGCAAATTGGTTCTATTTGCATTGGAATAACCTTATTTCTCTATCAGAGATTCAGAACATTTAGAAATCCATTTACAATTGTGTGCTATTCTAAATGAGCAATTTCAAACCTCTTTCCTTCTTCAGCGCATACACTCATATTATGAGCAATTAGGATAATTGGTTTTTCATAAACACCCTCTGACTTCATTAGATGGATAGAAAATATTGCATGTTTTAAAGAATATCATGTTAATTATGCTACTATTTTTATAATTGTATCAGGAGAAATGGAATTTGCTATTTAAAAAGAGAGAATTAAGAATATCTGTCATACTTCAGTAACAATTTCAACAGATGAATGCCAGTCATTTTATTCATACTATTTGCAATATCACCACTAACAAAGGATTAAGTATATGATTTTTCTGACCATTTGTTCACCCAGTGTAGAAAATGACACACTAGAGCAGATACGTAAATATCTGTTAGGTCCCAGGGTGGCAGCACAAAGAGTTTGCACTAGAGAGAAAGATGAGGCTTTCTGCTCCTGTAAAGATTTGCAATCTCAGAAGCCCTGTACAGGGTCGCTGTAAGTTAGAACCAACTCCACAGCTGTGGGTTAACGTGCTGGACTGCAAAGTCATTTTGAACCTCAAGGTTGGTGGTTCAAGCTCACCAGCTGCTCCTTGAAAACCCTATACAGGGTCGCTATGGATCAGAACGACTTGACAGCACTGAACAACAACAACTAACCTAAAAGCTGGCAGTTCAAGCCCACTCAGGGGAATAAAAACCTAGTGATCTGCTTCTATAAAGATTACAGCCAAGAAAATCCTGTTCTGCTCTACGACTCTAACACATGGAGTCAGTATGAACTGAAACCAACTTGACAGCCTCAGGCTTATCCAAAGTAAACTAACCAACGATGCCAAGCAGACAGATTCTTTTATTCTAATTTTACTAAAACAGAGATCAGACTGCGGTTTTTATTGTGTTGTTGTTTTAAATGAGGGCTGTTAAAACTCTGTGCTTGTTCATAAGGAAGAACCCACTTCTAAAATCATCAAAAGTCTTTGCTTATTATTTAATTTATTTGGTCATATCACCATAAAGTCACAAATGCTGATATGGTTTTAATTTTCTATGGTATAAATAAAGAACCCAAAAACGTCAGGCTATCCTAGAAAGGGTGCAGGTTTTAGCATCAGAAAGATCTGAATTTTAATTCCAACTCCACTACTAGCCAGCTTATCTATAAGATGAAGAAAATTGCATCTACTTCAAATAGTTGTTGCATGGATAAATTGAGAGAATGTGTGGAAAGTGCCACACCAAAAAGTTGATAGACTCAAGAAACTGTCCTCCAAATGACAGGAAATCAATGGAAAAGCCACATCGAAAACTAACTCCATGACTGACCTTCCTAGAGTCTTAACTGGAAAGTCCCTTGAAGACGTTGCTGGTCACCCAAGTGGGTAATTTTAAGTGAATATTTAAAGCACTGGAATGCTAACCACAAGGTCGGCAGTTCAAACCCATCAGCCTCTCCTTGGAAACTCTACACAGGGTTGATTTGAGTCAGAACCAACTCGGTGGCACTTAACAACATCAACAATAACAACTATTTGTTCTGCACTGTTATATGGGTTAAAGAGAACGCTCAGTAATACAGAAGATAGCCTGGACCACAAAGGACTTAAAAGATGGCTGTGAGTTCAAGAGTAGGATGAAATACCAGTAATTATAACTCAGAATGTGTGGCTCACAAAGTAACACAAAAGTTTTGAGGATGGCTGATAGAATGAAAACTGCATTAAAGGAAATCTAACTGGGCCACTGAAGTGAATGTGGAAGTAAAGGAGAAACATGTTGGATCCAAGAAGACCAATCTGAAAGTTGTGGGGGGCGTCCATATGCAAGAGAACAAAAACTTTGACAGAATTAAGGAAGTGAGTTGTAGATGAAGGGACAAGAGAGGCTTCACTCCCTCTTCCATGGCCCTGAGGTTTCCTGACTGCTCAGATATGACTCGGTCACATAATGGCCCAGGAAGTAAAACTAGGATGTAGGACAATTTGTCTTATACACTGACATCCTGGAGTCCTGGTGTGGCACTGTACAATAAGCATTAGACTGCTTGCTAACCACAAGCTCAGTTCAAACCCATCAGTTGCTCCTCAGAAACCCTGCACAGGGTCACTATGAGTTGGCACTTAACTACGTTTCAAAAGATCCATTCCCCTCATACATGAATGAAAAAACGCATTCTTGTTAAGTGCTGTGGAGTCAGTTGACTCTTAATAACCCTGAATGGTGGTGGTGGTGTGCCCTAGAGTCAATTCCGACTGATAGTGACCCTGTACAGGGTTTCCGAGGCTGTAAATCTTTACAGGAGCAGAAAGCTTCATCTTTCTCCCGTCGAAGGGTAGTTTCGAACAGCTGACCTTGAGGTTAGCATCCTGATTCCTAACCACTATGCTACCAGAGCTCCTAAAATAGGTATTAGGGCCACATATATCTAAGAATTAAAGTACATTATACTTTACCTATCTTTTAATGAGACTTCTAAAAAAATTACTCTTTACTAAATCCATAGTAGAACCCCTGGTATGGTACCATAGGATGAGCACTGGGCTGTAAACCAAAAGGTCGGTGGTTCAAACCCACCAGCCCTCCTTGGAAACCTTATACAGGGTCACTATGAGTTGAAATCAACTCAACCGCACTTAACAACAACAATCCAAAGTAATAAATTCCTAATGGTGAATTTAAGGCATTTGTAAACACTAAGGAGGGAAACATTTTAGGAGAGAAAATATTCCTGGATGCCTCTCAAATGTACCTATTCCTGCTTCTGTGACTTTGATCCTATACCCTGGTGTCTGATAACCCAGATGATAGGTGCAAAAATCTATGCAAGTCAATCAGCACTGCAGTCCCGATTTCAATACTTTTGACTTCCTGAATATTTGCTCAAAGGTGTCTTTTCTTGAACAGAGCAGGGGGCACAGGGGGAAGCTGTAGAAGAAAGGGAATAATACAAACCCACCACATAATTTTCTAAATCCCTGACATCTAATTGTAGTATGCAGTCCCAAATCAGAGCACAAAGTTTTCAGACACAAAATTGCCTGTTAGGAACAGGAACTTTAGACAATGATAATATTTATGCATCCTCTCTTTTGTGGTTGGATCAGGTTAGACATTATAAGCTTCCTCATTTT